CAGATCCTGGATGTGTCGCCACATTGGAGACAGGAACAAGCGCTATTCAGCCAAAGTTTCATAATCAGGGAACATTCTCTAAGTGACAAGTCTCGCTTCAGTCGGAGGAATCTGCATGCGCCCTGGTTCTGCAACGTGCTCCAAGCCCCTCTCCACATCTTCAGCTCGCTGTGCGCCGTACGTACGCGCTGACAGCGAGCTGCGCTGAGCTCCGTGTCCAGCTCAGATGGGAATCAAGTGATTTAGCTACATCTGCGATGTGCGAAACGAATAAAGTGTCAGTTCGTCTGCATGCGTCGGGGTCTTTCTCTTCTTTCTCCGTCAAAATAAATAATCAAAAACGGGAACTATCCGGTCAACACAACACAAGCCCTGCTTTTAACTGTTTTGTTTTCTTGTGAAAATAGATAAAATCTAACTTGATTAACACCAGAGCCAGGTGCACTGCCCCGTTATCTCCGTCGCTGTAAATGAGGGAAAAACAAATTGATCGGATCCTTTTCTGACCTTCCCCACCTACAAAGTTTAATTACAACAATCAAACGTGACAGAGCCTGGATTTGTATCCTGAACAGTCTAAACATGTTTTAAAAAGAAACGTATGACAAAAGTGGCACCTGCTCAGTAAAACCACCAACAGGGTGAAAAATATCAAAATACTGTAGGCAGAGACGGGCTACAACTTCTGGATCCACTTTATATAAATCGTTTTATTGATTATCTTCGTATGAAAGATAACTTTGACGTACACGAGCGACCGGTACCGGCTGCTGTCTGAGGGTAGGCCCCGCCCACAACGCCGCGGCTGCTGCAGTGTTTTCTTTACTGTGGGAAACGGGTAATAATGGCTCTTTGATGGGAACAGGTTGCCGACCCCTGGTCTATGTCCATGCGAGGACTATAAAATTTTGAGGTATTACTTCTGGGGGCAGAGTTGCAATGACATGCGCACTGCATTGTCCTAGAAGCAATTGGACAGGGATACAGGGCCAACATTACCAGTAATCAAAGATGTACCCGTTACATTTAAATCGGATGTCCGGGCTAATTTCGGTTTTGGGATCCTGGATGTGAAAGAATCACTTAACACAGTATTTGTTTACTATTTTTAAGTTCAGTAATATTCTATCTTAAAGCTGCTCTACCGAAAACATTATTTCTTATATTATTTAAGTAATTATAGGCAGCACACTTTAAACATTATTGCTCACTATAGTGAATAGATGAATGTTCTGTTTTTCAGGGATTTCAAAATCAAAAAGAAATTGAAAACTATTCTACTGCTTTTATTAAGTACTGAAAATTTTTGTGTGAAGAATCGTGATGCATTTCAGACTCAAATCGAATCGTTAGGCAGATAATCGGAATCGGATCGAATCGTGAGGCAGGTAGAGATGCACACCACTAATGTCAGGAAGCAGTTCAAGGCTCTAAACGCACGAAAAGCCCCAGGCCCTGATGGTGTCTCCTGCCACTCTAAAGCACTGTACTGAAGAGCTGGCCCCAGTGTTTACGGGCATTTTCAACTCCTCCATTAGGAGGAACGTCATGTTCTCGCCTGCTTCAAGATCTCCATCATAATCCCTGTTGCAAAGAAACCAAGGATCACTGCACTCAGTGACTACAGACCTGTGGCTCGGACATCTGTGGTCATGAAGTCATTTGAGCACCTGGTTCTCCCCCACCTCAAAACTAAGTCGGGCTCGTTCCCAGTGAGAGTTGGACTCCGCCAAGGCTGTCCTTTGTCACCGATTCTGTTCATAACCTTTATGGACAGGAATTCTAGACACAGCCAAGGTGGTGAGGGCATCTGTTTTGGTGGCCTGAGGATCAGGTCCCTGCTTTTTGCAGATGATGTGGTCCTGTTGGCTTCATCAGAACATGATCTTCGGCTTTCGCTGGAGCGGTTCGCAGCCGAGTGTGAAGCAGCTGGGATGAGAATCAGCTCCTCTAAATCTGAGACCATGGTCTTGAGTAAGAAAAGGGTAGAATGCCTTCTCCAGGTCAGGGATGAGGTCCTGCTCCAAGTGGAGGAGTTTAAGTATCTCAGGGTCTTGTTCACGAGTGAGGGAAAACTGGAGCGTGAGATCCATAGGTAGATTGGTGCTGCAACTGCAGTGATGCGGGCGTTGAACCGGTCTGTCGTAGTGAAGAGAGAGCTGAGTCAGAAAGCGAAGCTCTCGATTTACAGGTTGATCTACGTTCCTACCCTCACCTATGGGCATGAGCTTTGGGTAGTGACCGAAAGAACGAGATTGTGGATACAAGCGGCCAAAATGAGTTTTCTCCGAAGAGTGTCTGGGCTCTCCCTTAGAGATAGGGTGAGAAGTTCGGTCATTCAGGAGGGGCTCAGAGTAGACCCGCTGCTCCTCCACATCGAGAGGATTCAGTTGAGGAGGCTCGGGCATCTGGTCAGGATGCCTCCTGGATGCCTCCCTGGTGAGGTTTTCCGGGCACGTCCAACCGGGAGGAGACCTAAAGGTAGACCCAGGACACGGTGGAGGGAATATGTCTCTCACCTGGCCAGGGAACGCCTTGGGACTCCCCTGGAGGAGCTGGCCCAAGTGGCCAGATAAGTGGAAGAGAATGGTCGCACATATGGCAATAAAACCCTTCTGATTCTGAAGTATGAGAGGAGAGGGAAGAACTCATCCATGGACATCACTCAGAATGCTAATGAGCTGGTGATGCGCTTGAGCGTAAACATCGGATCCTGAAACATGACGAAGCAACCGAGAGAAAAGAAAAATAAAGAAGAAAATATTTTTTATATAGTGCCTCTCAGTCCCTTTGGTCAGTAGGCTTTAGTCACTGGACCTCAGGGATCTGCTGGGGGTCTAGGGACTGATGGTGCTTGTCCATGTAAGGCCCTAAAGACCAGGGGTCTCATTTATCAAACATTGCGTAGAATCCTTACTAAAACCGTACTTAAGCTCAGCAACAAAAAAAAAAGTACTTATGCCAAGTAGGTTTGTGATCTATCAAACATGGAGTACGCACAGCTGCACGCAATCTCCGCTTCATAAATCAGAGACTAACGAGAATGTTTCTCAGCTGCTTTTAGTCACATCCCGCCCTCACCATGTTCACTTACTGCCATAAATAGTCAATGCAAAGTGCCTTGTGGATCATGCATATACATAAGCCGGCTGTTGCAGCGCTCTGCCAATGACATGGCGACCGTAGATCAAGGCAGATCAAGGACGCGCAATTTCACAGAAGCAGAAACTGAGGTACCTGTGGGTGGGGTGGAGAAATTAAAGGAAGTGCTTTTGCAAAACAAATAAGAGAAAATCCACGGAGTGGCTCAGCGTTGCTGAAGCCGTCAATGTTGTGAGTTCTTCAGAGAGATCTGTGGCGGATATAAAAAAATGGTCCAATCGGGATTCGATCCCCAGACTCCCGGGTGAAAGTCACGCGCGCTAACCAGTCACCCAAACAGGGATCTCCCTTGTCCAAGTAGCCAGAGTGCATGATCAATCAGGTCACAGTGACAGGACACACACACTGTCACAGACGCATGATATTCTGTCTTAATATGCCCCCCTGCTGATTTCTGCATTCCGCATTCTGCGCTTCAGGCTGTGTGTGTGTGTGTGTGTGTGTGTCTGTGCTTGTGCTTGAGGGGTTCTCTTTCTGTGTGAAAACTAAGCACTACAAGTGATAATGCTGCAGGATTTCATAATTGTATCCTTCTCAGCAGTAGCACTGCAGGTGCTCTCCATGTCCAACATGTGCGTAAGCGAGGAACTTAGTCAACTTAAAATTGCGCACATTTTTCCGATAAATTTTCTTTCATAAATCCCAAAGTTTGCGTGGAAATTTGCTTACGCAGTTTTCCGACCCCGTTTTGTGCGTAAGCTAGCTTGACAAATGAGGCCCCAGAACCAGGATCTTGAAATGAACCCTGAAGGTGACTGGCAGTCTTAAGCCCTTTTCAGACAGACATTCTGGAACATTTGTGGACAATTTAATCCGGTTTTTAACCGGAACTGTGTTTTCAGACACACCACTTTTGTACCGGAACTTGTCCTTTCGGCTGCGTTCACACAGCAGGGAAAAGTTCCAGATGTCTGACGGCGGCGGGGGTGGGGGGGGGATCGGACTTATGTTAAGAAGAAGAAGAAGAAAATATCATTTCTATAGCGCCTCTCAAGATAAAAATCACGAGGCGCTTAAGCATAATTCTGCGCACACGAAGACGCATAAGAGACCTGGATGATGAAGCTCAATGGTTAAAGGAATCACTGAAGCGGTGTGAAGCGCTCCGTCGCGCGTCTCGACAGTACCGTAGGAGGCGAGCTGCCGTGGTTCGCCGCATGCTACAGCAGCGGGCTATCTAGGTGCGCACAGCTTCCCCTGGTCCCCTCCTCCTCCCCCTCCCTCTTGTCCAGAACTTTACCTCACCAGTCTGAATCAGCCACCCTGTCCGTAACAAGTCCGGACCTGTTACTAGGGGCTTCGTCTGGATAAATTCCGGAACATGTTATCCGGATGTTTGTATTCAGACAGAAAGGTCTTACGGACAGATTCCGGAACATTTCCGTTTTTCATGGCCTGTCTGAAGGGGGCTTAAGTGTGAGGAGATGAAGGTGTGGATAACGGCCTCAAGTTACAAGAGAAGACAAGTCACTCACCCTCTTAACAGACATCAAAGCCAGCAGCAGGGCTGTCTTGAGAGACAAACTTCAGCAGGACCTGGTCAAGGACCACACTCAGGTCTCTTTGAGGGGCTAGCAGGCAAGACACAGGTCTGTGTCTTTGCAACTGTTCTGTCCCTGAAACCGTCATGGTGGGAAGAGGTGCTGAAAGCCAAACCTCTGTCCAATTAGACCTGCAAAAATGATAGCATGCAAGCTATCGGACATGAAACGGGGATGCGTGCCTCTCTGTGCACCAGCACTGGGTGATGGCTCATTCAGAAGTATGGGATGTGGTTCAGGAGCAGCCTTAGAATCATTTAAGTAAAGCACCACTATGTCCCTCATTCCATCTCTCACCTGAAGTAACCTCCATCAAAGGTCACCAGAAGCCCTTCCTTCCAGTAGATGGTTTGGCTGCGGCGGACTCTAAATGTGCTGCATCGACTCTTCTTCTCATGTCCAACAAAGCTGTAGATGGCCGACTGGCTGTGATGCTTGCTCTTAGCAGTTTTTATGGAGGGATAAGAGAACTGCACACACACGCGCGCGCACGCGCACACACACACACACACACACACACACACACACACACACACACACACACACACACACAACGTTAAGGGAATGAACTGCAGCTGATGAGTGACGGTCTGATTGGACGTGTACCTGCAGGTCCATCTCTGCCAGGCTGATGAGCATCCTGGCAATGAAACGCTCCCAGAATCCTGCAGGAACGAAGCTCATCTTGAAGACACGCTGAAGGGTGTTAGTAGTGCTTCTGTGAATGTTGTGTATGTCCATGGCAGGTTTTGGAGGAAGGAGATGTGGCAGCAGGTAACTACGGCAACACAAAATGATGACAGTAAACACCTTAGAAGAATAACACACACACACCTGCCATATGGTGAAGTTCATGTTTGAGGGAAGGTTTGTGCACGTGGTCCGAATGCCTGATCAACACTTCACAGAAATGGGGCGTGGGTGGGCTAATGAACTGGTCTCTACTAAAGAAAAGGCCTTTAGTTTGCTTTTACCTTTGCTTGATGACACCTTTACTAATTCATAGACCTTTTTCACAAATACAGACACCTAAACATGGATTTAATATAGTTTTAGGATGATAACTTATTGGGCCTTCTGGAGTAAACACACATGCTGGTAAAGCCATAAACTAAAGATCAGCTTGTACCTGTTGTTACCCAGAGGTAGAGCAATCTCAAATTTAGCCAGAAACTGGAAATACTGCTCCTGTGTTTGCTGGGTGAAGCCTGTTCCTTCCAAAACCTGAACAACAGATACAGTACAAGTAAGCACCATCATCATCATCATCATCATCATCATCATCACTCCACAGCAGATACAGCTCAGCATCTCTGACTTCACCTTGAGATCTTTAGCTTGGATCACTCCGTTCCTGGCCATCGGCTGAGATGATCTCAGACATATGATCCTCTCCAGACAATCTGACAGCCACACAGGACACAGGAAGTAGAGAGTACACAGGCCATGGCTGGTGTCTGGGAAATGCAGGAGGGTTCCCGTTTCTATCAGAAAACTAATGGCTGCAGGAAAACACACAAGAAAAGCCATTAAAAAGAGGACAGGTTCAGAGAACGTGTGAATTAAAGACACGTGCAGCAATATGAGTGTAAATGAAAGGACTTTCTTCAATTTCCTTTGTGAGGACGAGGTACAAACGACAAAATACAAAACAGAACAAATCACCAATAACCAACAACACCAAATCATACAGAACCTTTGTTGTTCATTAGCACCAGCGTTCTGCTGAAACTAAACCTTTGTACAAGTTTGTACTATGTGCAGTAGGGCTGAAGGATTTAGGAAAATAATCCAGTTGCGGTTTAATTCACGATTATTTTCTCAAGGGGCTTTTCTCATATTTCAACTAACGGAAGCAAAAAAAAAAACCCCTATGTAACGTATACTGCATGTAAACAAGTTTATGTATCTACATATTTATCTACATATCATATCAACAAGTTTATTTGTCTACATAAACATAAACACTCACAAGTAAAGACAACATTTTGTGTTTGAAGGTGCGATGCTTTGCAGCCAGGAGCACATCTCTTGAAGGAGCATAGGTATTAGCATCAACTGTGAACATTTACTAGCAGGAAAGAAGTTTAGAGTTTTTGACGTCTTGTCCATGCAGAGCTTCCGTAGTTCAGTTACGTCCGTAGCTGCTAGCCAAAACTCTGTGGAGTTAAAGTCTCGTACGGTTTTCTAGCTTTACTAAAATATCTGTCTGTGCTTATCTGACTGATTCAAATTCAAAAATACTTTATTAATCCCAGAGGGGAATTGGTTGCTGTAGTAGCTCAGAATAATAATAATAATGATGATGGTGGCAGTTTTTATATTTTATTAGACTCCAAATGTAATTATTTGGCACGTTCCTAATTCATAATTTCTAAGAATGTAATCAGCCATTATTAGCATTAGCATCCCTATGGGTTCTTCCATGTATATTAGCATTGTGCTAACCACTTACTGCCAGTCAAATTGCAGCCTTTGCGATTAGAAAATCTCCTTTTGTCACATCGCAGTTTAATTGCATATGCAATTAATCGTTCAGCCCCAGTGTGCAGCAGACATTCTTCATGAAAGTGGTGTTGACCCAGCTCAGCCAGAGTCCACGTCCCTCATTTATCAAGTGTACTTACGTACAGGTCTGTGCGTATATCGTGTGTAGGAACAAATGTATGCATTGTCTGGTATTCATTTTGTACGTGTGTGTGGAAATGTTCCTAAACACAAGAAAACCTCAGGACATGCTAACAAACAGCATCTAGAGGTAGAAGAAAGGAATCGCTATACTGAAGGTCTCAGCGGCCCACACACGTTCCTCATCAACAAATTAATTTACCCAATAAAATATTATTATGGTGAGAAAAAAGTTTTTTGCATAATTGGTGCTAAAACCTATAAAAGACAGCTGTGATCAAGGGGAATCTAACACTGAAGCATGTCTGATCTGTGTTTCTGGAGGATTTGGCAGAGCGTGCCTTCTAGAGGGAACATGTCCTCCGTGAGCGCACTGAACTCCCTGATAGAGATCCTTCTGGAGCTACGCTGCGACTTAAAACCTTGCTGAGCAGCAGACAAATCGTACAAATCCGATTCCAGTCCATATTCAATTATTGACAACTACAAAAAAAACCAGAGCCTCCTCTGCTCCCCGATCATACACGCGTTGTCCAGACTGCATGACAGCTCCAAGGACGCTGCTCTCAGACAACAAAGATTTCCAAACAAGAACAAAACTAATTCCAAACATCATGCAGCTCCGTATATGTAAACTGTAAATGACAACAGAATGGAACATTCAGTCTGTTACTCCATCCATCCATTATTAGCCGCTTATCCAGAGTCGGGTCCGTGATGGGACCGAGACAATTGACTGGCTGATAGGACATTGGTTCTTTGGGAAGGAAGCTAGAAATGGGGCAAATGTTTTGAACATGTAGACTTGAGTTTTGAAACTGTAAGCTGAAGTCTAGTTTACGCTTCAGCGTCGGTGCGGTGACACGCAACACCGTTATCCATCATTGCGAGGGCTCTCCAGCAGGCTTGCAAAGACGGACGGAGTCGAGCCCATTTTTCTAAACATCCGTTAAACGAGACGGAGAACGCAAGCTGGTTATTGGTCAGGACGCCGCTTTCGTCAACAGCACCGCCGCCATTGCGCCCTCAAAAACATAAAGAAAGCCAAAGATATCTAGCGACAGACACGGAGCAGCTTGAAAATACTTTGTGTAAAAACTCTAAAAACATCAACGTTACCTGCTGGGTTCCTTATATAGGACACTTTTTACTGACTGGATTGATGTATTGGAATGATTACTGTGGGAAGTGTCTTAAAACGACTCTTGTCGTGATTTGGAGCTTTATAAATAAACTTGAATTGAATGACATTCTATAAAATGAAGGTTACGTGTTACAAAACGAATGCTACGTGCTACAAGTTACAAAACATGATGCAAGTTACATGTATTAAAACCCTGTTCCTAGATCGACACGTTTCTGTTCAAGAAATAAATAACCGGTGAGTGGCCATCCGTTTGTGATATCATGTAATATAAAGCTGCGTGTTTAATTTAGGCTACATTTATATAAACTGATAAACACACACACACACACACACACACACACACACACACACACACACACACACACACACACACACACACACACACAAGAATGAGTTGACATATACACGCACATGTATGTGTGTGCACACACTGTTGTTGCCGTGTCCTACCTAATTTATAATGGCAGAGACACTGGTTTATATAACTACTATGCATTGTGGTTCATCCAAGGAGCCATTTAAGCGAGAATTTTATGAAGCCAACAAGGAGTGGAAAAAACTGCAGTTCCACCATCATCCGCTAGGGGCTGGCACCAGATCAGAGCAGGTTCCCATTGACTCCCATGTTAAAAATACCATTTTCACAGCAGAAATAAACGTGTTTACAGCCTGGTTAAAAACATGTTAGGTTTAATAGATCTAGTTTATATTCATGACTAATCTTGGGGCAGCAATAGCTCAGGTGGTAGAGCGGGTTGCCTCATGAGCAGAGGGTCATGGGTTCGTTTCCAGCTCCCGCCAGGGGTATCCTGCTGTTGTGTCCTTGGGCAAGACACTTCACCCAACTTGCCTGTGTTAGTGGTGGTCAGAGGGGCCGACGGCACCAAATGGCAGCCTCACCTCTGTCAGACCTCCCCAGGGCAGCTGTGGCTACAAGTAGCTTACCATCACTAGCAGTGTGTGAATGTGAGAGTGTGAAAGCGTCTTTGGGTGTCCAGAAAAGCGCTATATAAGTTCAATGCATTATTATTATTATTATTATTATTACTCTGAAGGGGGTGAGTGTTTTGCAACTCTTCTGTTTAAGCTTAATTAAATGCTTAAAATTTTGAATAATTAATGAGCATCAGAGCCACGCCAGAGCTAGCTCCGGGGAAAGGCCTCAGCCTCATGCTAATAGATGTTCAGCCATTTTGACTCTCTGAACTTTAGTCGTGTCCTCCGTCTGTGTGTTTGTGTTCTGTGTATTTGGACACAGAGGGCAAGCTGTGGTTGTTGACTGCACTAACAGATCATCCACACTGTTTTTGCTTCTTTTTATCATTAAGTATGGCGTTTTCCAACCGCTTCTATTTGTAAGACTTTCTTGATCAGGCTCAACTCGTCCTCTGTGGTGAGTGATTTCATTGATCGCCAACTACCTGAGGTCAAAAGTGACTACTCCCTCCTCTGCAAAGCTTTGAAGGAGGAATTCTCAGGTACAGCAAAGACAGCAGGTTTAAAACACGTGTTCTACTTTAACCTTTTCCATGCTTTCTCTGGCCATCGAAGTTAACTGGGTATGGAAGAAAATGGTGACTTTAAAGAACTTTTTCTTGAGAATCTGCATCCTTCCATAGGCGTGCAAATGAGTGCAGTAGATAGTGGAAAAACTACCGTGATACAACTCAGAAAAGTGGCAGGTAATGTTTTTAGAAGAACTACTCAGTGAATCACGGACTCCAAGTCCTCTACAGGTCTGGGTTAATATGCAGAGACCTCTCTTTTGGTCCCATCTCAGCACAGAGACCTCGACAGGCTGCTCCCACGCCAGTTGACAGTCTCCATCGTCTGACATTCCAGGTTTCGGGTCTAACAAAATCTATTATGCTACTCGCATGTCTCCGTGATGTCCGACACGGCTAAGCCTCCTCCTCAGCCTTCTCTACCACAACTGTATGAATCTGGGCCCTCTTCAGGTATTGCACTCAGGGAGCGCCCAGCCCTGTTAACGACTAACTACCATCTGTTCACACAAAAGGTATTTGTAAAGTTTGACCCTGAAATGGCATGCGCTCAGAAACTGCTATCCTTCAGCGGCGTTTCTGAAACAGGTACCAACTGGACTCACACTATGATGTGGCACTCTGAAGCCGACATCTCTCACATGTCACACCAGTTACATAAATTAATGGTTTACAATTCTGAGCTTTCTGGTACCCATGGCAGGGAGAAGTGTTTCCTCCCTGATTCCTCTCCTTTGCTAATACCATTGGTTCGCTCTTAAACTTGGGCTTGTCATCCATCAACTCTGTCAAGATCCACAATGTGCAACGTCACATCGCTGAGCTTACGCAGGGAATTCCCTTCCCTGCGTAAGCTGGCGCGTCTCCAACAGCGTGCGTTAAAGCTGCTAGGCACCTCTGATTGCCACACTAGTCCTTAACACGCATAGCGCCATGTTGCGTGAAACCACTTCCGCGGTGAACGAACTCCATCCCTTTGTCTGGGTCGATTATGCTCACACTCATATGCTGACCACTTGCCTGTCCGACTGTAAGTGCTTCTATAGACGCCCTCCTCACGGGGAGGATTCCTCTGTACCTGGTGTCCCCAGGGGACATCTACAGACTGAAGGACGTGGTCAATGTTGGTAACTGGGTCACGTCAAGTTGCATACGCCGCCGGTGGTCGCATTCCACAATGACACTCCGGATATCCGTCTAGTCACAGACCTTCACTTGTGTT